CACGAGGCCTTGGACCTCTGCCCTCCCCGGCGGGGGGGGGGGGGACACAGCCCACTGGAAGGAGGCCGGCTTGGACTAATGGATCCCGTGAGTGACAGGAGCCCCTCCGGATGCTGTGGGGCGCCTCTTCCCCCCAAAACCTGGCCGTTATTTCCTAAGAGGCCTGGGGGAGAGCGGGGGACACTGAGCAAGAACTGGAGTCTCGAGATCCCTGGGGGAACAGAAAAGGGAAAGAGGCTGAGCAGGAGAAGGTAATTCGAAGGGAGAGGAGGGGCTTTTTTTTGAACCCAGGTCAACCAAGTCTGAGTAAGGAGGCTGGGAAGAAGAGGAAGAGGAGGAAGAGGAGGAAGAAGAGGAGAGCCTCCCAACCTTGCAAGAACCAGCAGGAAAGAAAAGAGAACACAGCTGGTCCTCGACTTATAACCAAAACTGAGCCCAAAATTTCTGTTACTAACCAAGATATTAGGTGAATTTTGCCCCGCGTTATAACCTTCCTTGCCACAGTTGTTAAGTGAATCACTGCAGTTAAGTGAATCTGGCCTCCCCATTGACTTTGCTTGTCAGAAGGTCCTAAAAGTGCATCACGTCACCCTGGGACACTGCAGCCGTCATAAATGGGAGTCAATGGCCAAGCGTCTGAATTTTGATCGGCTGATGTGGTCACAGCCATCAACCATTTTTGTCCCAGTGCCGTTGTAACTTTGAGTGGTCACTAATCAAACTGTTGTAAGTCTGAGGACTGCCCGTAAAGGAAAGAGGGAAACTGGCCCAAAGAACGGAATTGCCGCGAACAATCCCTGCGGATGCCGCCACTTCTCAAACGGAGGAAACTCCCCCCAATTGGGTCACTAAAACCAAATAAAAGCACTGGGATTGGCGCCTGGAATCAAGCTGATTTTTGTGACAAGCCTGTCACTCCAATCCCCCAGGAGGAACATCCCTGAGCGGCAGCAGCAGCAGCAGCAGAAAAAGGAGAAATAAAATGGGCCTGGAAAACAGGGGGAGATTAGTTTGTATTTGGGGGGTTGTTTTGCCTGCCTGGAAAAGTTAAGGATGAAGTTATCCTCAGAGGAGGGGAGGCGGGGGGGATCTATCCCACTAAGCCAGAGGTCCTCAAACTTGGCAGCTTTGAGACTTGTGGACTTCAACTCCCAGCATTCCTCCTCCTCCTCCAGTCATGTTAGCTCAGGAATTCTGGGAGTGGAACTGCACAAGCCTTCAAGCTGCCAAGTTTGGGGACTCCTGCCCTAAGCTATATGGAGAAAGAAGGTCCCGATAGAGGAACTGCCACTTACTGGGTCCACCCTGGATGGAGAGCCGGAGAGGGGCAAACGGGGGAAGGAAACCGAGCCCCTCCCCAACCCCACTTGGCTGGGTTACTCACTCTGAAGTCGCGAACCTTCAGCCGTCCGTGGGGGACACGAAAGAAGGTGTCTGTCTGAAGGACGAGAGAGCCGGGGGATCCGCTCAGCTGCTCCACCCGGCTAATCAGCAGGGCCAGATCCTGCACCCGGGCCTTGATCTCCACATTGGCCGGCATCTACAAGACACCCAGAGATCAGGGGAAGCCAACAGGGGGGGGGGGGTTCCTGGTGCTCTCTGAGCTGAGTGGTTCCCTTGCAGGCGTTTCATGACCCAACTAGGGAACAGCTCCAGTGCCAGGAGGGAGGGGGGCTTCCTCTCTGTTTACATACTAGTGGCTCATCCTTTTGGGGTTGGCAGGAGCGTTTCCTTCCTGTTGGTTCCTCCATTAGCCTGTTGTCTGATTGCGTGTTTGAGTTCTTGATTGGGGTATAAACAGAGACCAACCCCTCTCTAGCCCTGATGATGTTACCTAGCAGGGCCATGAAGCGCCTGCCAGGAAACCACCCAGCTCAGAGCACCAGGGACCCTGCGGCTCAACCCTCAGCTACAAAGATTCTCTTCTCTCTTCGGGGGAAATTCTCCTCCAAGGAGCTCAGCCCATCCCCACACGCCCCCACCCCCACCGCG